GTGTGGATGGAAGAAGAGGAGGGGTGGCCAAGCGATGAATTGGTCGAGAGGAATGAAGGTCCTTACTTCGGAGCTGGCCTCGGTTGCAACTTCACGGCTCCCTGGTTGGGGTCGGATAGACGATGAACACGTTTGGCTAGATACACTTGCTGACATGGCTAGGAGCCGACCTCAGTGGCGTTCCTGCTGTGAGCTTTTTGTCCCTCCCCATCCCTTTTAGCCTCCCCCTCCAACCACGATCTCATTCCGTAACATAATATAATTTCACACCATAATGTTTCTTGATGCCTAGTAGCCGGCTGGTAGGTTTCCGGAACGATGCCCATCCGGTTCTGGTAGCTCAGCGGGTATGCAACTCTTGTGTTTATTTTCTCTCTTTTATGTATTGCGGTACAATAGCTGTGGTGCTTTACACCTCTGGCTAACGAGTATAATGATGATGATGAACCACCTATGTATGTATGCTTCACCGCGGTTGAGTTTGAGTGACTTTTACGTAGCTTCTTCGCTATTACACCAGATTGAATCTAATCCATTTGATTTGATGTGCGCAGCTCATATTATCCTCTGATTTTCCCGTTTTACTTCGCGCACCTTTTCCTCCCTTTTCCTTTCGATGTTAGTCGATTTATATCCTCTGATTCGCACACTCTGATACACACACATTGCACATCACGCTAACAGAATTCGTACAGTTTGTGTATTTGCTCGATTCTGTCATCCAGCCTCACCTTTACTGCCCAGTGTGCGCGTTCATCTTCTTTCATACTCATATGATGTCTCAATCGGAGTTTGGTGTTGCACACATCGTGCCTCTACACCGAAGTTGAGCCACACCGGCTTACTCCTAAACCAGAGCTTCTTAACCTTGATACAAAGTAGTTCACCTTAGTTGATTTGCTCCTCTGCTGCATATTCCGTGCCAATTTTGCCTGTTTGTTTTCCTTTAGATTCTATGTTGATTGATTGTGATCACCTGTGTGGTTGCGTTTGATGTGAATGCTAACAAGGTGCCTACCTGTCTAACGTCCCTACTTCGATTACTGGATCCAGGAGACTGCTAATCGTTGATAGGGTGCACCGTCCTGGTTGTAGTGCCAGGCTCAAAGAGTGTTTCTATCCCGTGGGAAGCGAACTGCGTCCCAATCACCGCCTTTTGTAGGTCTGACACGCAAAATTCCCCAATTAGATGGATAGGAATGCAACTGTGCATGTTGAAGTAGTGTGGGCCGGTTTCGTTGATTAAAGGTGGCTCCGATCCAAATACATTTCAGTCTCATTTCTTCGGATTTACACTAGATATGTGGGGGGTGGATGGACCTGTGGGTGGTACAGCGCAAATCATTCATGGTCCCTCTGTAAGTGCAGGCGTCCTGTGGCTGTCCTATGGACACCACATTGACAGGCAAATTCGGAACCGGATGCCCCCTACCATGTCTGACGTGTCTAGGATTGAAAACTAGATGTGCTCCATCCGCCTCAGGCGCGGAAAACTGCTTGTGGGAGCAGTTTATCGCAGTCCCCTGAGTCGTTGTTTGGATTGGCTGCCCATTCTTCGAACCCACATGAGTCGTCCACACTTTCTAGTTATGGGCGATTTTAACTGTCCTCGAAACGATGGCCTGATGTGCATTTGATGCCTGGACATAGTGAGGTTGAAGCAAAGTTCTTGGATTTGGCACTTGAAACTGGTGCATCGCAACACATATGCCAGCCAACACGCAAAACGACACGTTCAACCTCGTCCTGTCTCGACCTGATGTTAACGAGCTACAAACAACGAGTGCGTGACGTTAGGATCCTGGAGCCCCTGGCTACAAGCGACCATTCCGTGCTCATAGCTGATATGGAATTATCTTTGCCGCATTCACGTCCGCTTGAACCAGCTCCCAACTACTGGAAAACGGACTTCGATGGTCTAGCTCGAACCGCGTGCCAACTGGATTGGTTTCTGCCACAAGATGCATCTGGGGAAGATTGTTGGATATTTATAATAGAGAGATGGACATCATGGTGTTCCCAATTTGTGCCATTGAAATGTCGGAAGATTGGACCGATTAAGCCTCATTGGTTTGACAAGGAGTATGGAAACCTGGCTTGGAGGCGGCGCAGGCCGTGGGACAAATTCCTCCTCTCTGGCTCTGCCAATGATTACGAAGGGTATAAATGTCAGCGGAACCTCTGCAACAGTGCAAAAAAGAATAAACGCCGACAGTTCGAAGAGCAGCTCGCAGTAGCCGCGAAGACCGCCCCAAAGAGAATCTTTGCATACGTAAAGCGACGCCTGAAGCCGGCAGGTGATGTGCCAGTGCTGGATGGCCCGGACGGACAGCCCCTAACCTCCAGCACTGAGCGTGCGTCCGCGTTGGCGGCGCACTTCGTTTCTGTATTTGCGAATAACCAGTTGTCTGTTCCGAGTTCGACATTTACCGGTTTTACCGAGCTCGATAGTCTGCATTGCAGCGTTGAAGAGGTAGCTCGACTACTCGCCAACCTGGACGGCACCAAACCTGCCGGACCTGATGGGCTTCACCCACTGGTTCTCAAGTCACTTTCGACCATCCTCTCTCCTGTCGTGACTGACCTATTCAACAGGTAGCTGTCCGAAGGTTCGTTGCCGGTTGACTGGAAATGTTCGGTGGTGAAGCCTATTCCGAAAGGCGGCGACCCTAGCAAAGTAGACAACTACAGGCCAATTTGTCTGACACCTATTTTGGCAAAGGTTGCTGAGAAAATCTTGAAGAAAGGATTGCTTCAGTTGCTACAGTCAAACGAGGTCCTGACGCCCGCACAGCACGGTTTTATGCAAGGTCGCTCATGCATTACGAACCTGCTTGTAGCGAGGCATGAGTGGTTGAAAGCAATAAGCAAGGGAAGTCTGTCGACGTGATATTCATCGATTTTAGTAAAACGTTCGACAAGGTCAGTCATGAGGTTCTCCTTCACAAACTCAGAATGTGTGGTTTCGGTGGCTCACTGCACCGGTGGATCCGCGACTTTCTTGTTGGACGGAAGTGGAGGGTACAGGTGGACGATCATCTACCTGACTGGTACCCCTCTACAAGTGGCGTACCTCAAGGCACTGTGCTGGGGCCCACTCTGTTCCTGATCCACCTCAACGATCTACCTCAGCTTCTCCTGTCGCCGTGTGCCTTGTTTGCACATGACATGAAGATTTGGAGATAAATTGACACTCCTGATGACTGTGACCTACTTCAGAAAGACCTCAACCGCGCATTCACTTGGTCTGCAGAAGTTCTCCCGATCAACCCAGCCAAGTCTGTATTTATGAGCCTGGGGAAGGGTGCTGATTGCCGAACCTACACCCTTAACGGCCGACCGCTATATTCCACACCCACTGTGAAGGACCTAGGTGTACTATCACCCTACGATTTGAAGTCCGTGGACAACCCAAATAGGCTATATCGTAACGGACTGCGCATGCTTTGGGCGCTCAAACGTAGATTCCGCACATGGTCTGAAGAGGTTGCCACTCGCCTCTTCTTTTCCATCATTAGACCAATACTAGAGTACGATTCGCCCGCCTACTTTCCGATTACCCGAGGCGAGGCACAAAAGATCGAACGGGTCCAACACGTTGCTACCGGCCTCATCCTGAGTTTTACGTGGCTTGGGGTATGAAGACCGACGCGAGAAACAAGACTCTACACGTCCTATCGTCAGGTGCGAGTCAACCTCATTACGACCTACCGTATTCTACATCTCGGTGACTTCCCAATGCTAAGGCCAATGCTGCACTTACGAGGGCCATGCAGCACACGCGGACACAGATACAAACTTGTCGTGCCGGACGTGAAATGTATTCCCCACCCACTGTGCTTCGAAAGGAGTGTGGTAAACATTTGGAACAGTTTACCTGAACATGTGATTGAGGCAACATCTGTGCAGCAGTTCAAAACGTTGTTAGATTTATATTTTACCACTATTCGATTCAGAGAACGATTACACACTTACGATGACATATCACATTTGTGAGTCCTGAAATATCGTAAGTCAGATATTTTAAATGTTACATGAGAACGACAACGATATTCATGGTTGACAACTTTTATAACGTTTTTCACCATATTTCGAAAGAGTTGTACAGAATTCATTTCTACTTGCTCTATAATACAGTATTCAGTATTCAGTACACAGCAACACATATGGTAGACCATCAATATTTCATAACTCGGCACTATTGCGTATAAAGCTGCATTAGTATTTTTCCATGCACCCCTGGACACAACACGCAATATCTATCTTTTTCAGATTCGATCCCAATGACCAGATTGATCGGCCTTCATTTCAAAGTGAATTGAAAGTCCTGATGAAGGTCGCGTTTCGCCATGCATTCACAGAAAATCTGCTACAAAATTACCCTCTCGACCAGTCAGTAATACTTATGACGAGCGTTTCCCGCCGTTGCTTGGTGGTTCAAGAAGGTTTTGGTTGACGACTCAAAGGTCCCGAGTTCGAGTCGCGGCTATATTAGCTTTTATTGATGTATTTAAACAAGCATGAAACTAATCGCGGTTTGCATTGTTGTCGGCAAGAGACATTGTGTCCATCAAAGTATTTTTAATTGTCGGATTGCCTACCGCTGATTTATCGACCAAACTCGAGTAACCTCATCTGTATTCTCCTGGAATTCATGCATTATTTGAACTACAGATTAAATAATGGACTGCTGAAATAAAAAACGAATGGGGTGGTAAACTACTCCTCCGACTGATCGATTGAACAATTAAGTGACCGAGTAGTTAACCAATTTGTAGTCTACTTTCTTGAGTAATTGGCTGATATACCAATGAAAAGTTTCTCTTTTGTTTGCCGACATTACTCCTCACAAAAGCATGCCTAGAGCGCCTCTGATATAATAACAGTAATCGGAAAGTTACTTTTTGGTTTGTAATTGGAATGCGACCATGCTTTTTCAAAACCTACCCATACACGTAGTACCATACCTTCCGGAGCAAGAAATCGTCGCCTTTTATTAATTTTAGAACTTTTCTGTAATATAGACACAAATGTTTACAGCAAACTTGAGACAGTTACATCACAGTTGTTGGGCACCTCTCTTTCATTTTTTGATGTAGAACCGTTCACAATTGGCTTTGGTTTCCGAACAGTTTTCATAGCTACCGGAAGTCCGTACCACTTGAAATAATTGGGGAGCGTTTTAGTGTTAGTCGTGCCTTCATCAGTTGATAAGTCCCTCATGTGATCCTGACCAGTAGACTTCGCAATCAATCTGTTGATCGCTAGAGTCAAGGCTGACGGAGGCGATGACGATGGATGCAGTTCGGACGAAGAGATTGGGGTCAAATGTGTCGGGGTCACCACAGTTTTCCGTCCACCGGAAGAAATCCACTCCACTGTCTTTTTCGAGATAGCTTCACTAAATTGCATTTTGCATTTCCGACACACCCATTTGGCTAGCTGCACCCGGTGAATGCGCATCAACGTTTGACACAACATCTGTGGATCTGCCGTCAAATTCATCTGACACCATTGATTGAGTGCGTTGTGAGCTAACACGGTATGGTCTCCCCTGGGCTAAATATACCGGAGAAAGGTGTTATCATTATGTAATGCACTAATGCACAGAGATAATTTGCATGGCGCAGGAATACTGCTTGTTTGCAAGAAGTCACTGGAAAAGAACGTCTGTGTGATAATCGCGCCTCGGACACTGAATGCACGTCAAACTTCGTAAACACATGGCAACCAAAGGTCGTTAAGTTTCTGATAAGTGTCTACCTGATTAAACGGATCCATCAATTTTACACATAGCAGGTGAATGTAAACATAACCATTTTCAGTTTGTATGCTGTATACTTCTACTGTCAATACTCGGTAGGTTATTTTAAAGAAATAAAGAAATAAATATCTTATTCTCGACGCCCACGCCCATGGAGGCCTGATCAGGTGAAGAATGTGAACAATGTCCTACCCGTCTTGAGTGCACTGATACACAGTGTATTGGAACTTATCGGATTTAAGAGCCACTTAAATACATAAAGAAAGTTTTAGTCCTAAAATCTTTGAGGCACAATGCTGTAGGCATTATCAGAAAATACACTGTGTAACCGTTTTACCCCTTCGAGAATCGTAGATAGTGCACATTCCACGTGGCCCTTATCGGGATAGAACTCGCAACCCGATTGTTGTCAGTCCGTGATGAAGGCCACTGGTCTTCGGAAGACGGTAACGACTGACCTGCCTAAGTTACCAGGTTTTATATAGCGCCGCTCACTATCCACTGACCTGCACCTTACTGCTGTGCAGACGACAGGGTAGCATCTACACCAACCGACGAACTTATGACATTATAAGCGGTTTGGTCTACCCACAAACTACAAAGGAGTAAGAGAAGGAGTTGAATGCGATAAACGAAGTTCGTCACATCTAGACCCAGTCAGACAGTAGACACACGCTAGGAAAAGCACTGTACGGCCGTTTCATCCTTTCGGGAACCGTCAGTAGTGCGCATTCCATCTGGTCCCTGTGGGGCTGCCACCTCCGGCCCGACTGTTACCAGTCCGTGGTTAAGAGCACTGAGCTACGGAAGCAAAACCCGTTACACCTGACTTACGCTATCAATTTTCACGGGTTCTCAGTGCTACAAATCTGGTGCACCCATAAACCCCTAGCTTATGTGTTTGGGATACCTGAGATACATTCGCACATCTACTTCTTGGTTAAGTGGAGCGCTCTAGTTCAACAGCACAACGCTACTTATGTCTTTAATAGCAAAACTGCATGTCTTTATTTTTCTCTTCTAGTTGAAGAGAAGCTGGCATCTTTACATTAGCGAAACTGGTTGCCTGCTCCTATATGCTTTTATCATGTAGAACGAGTGTAATTTGAGACAAAACCCCCGTTCAAGTCTGTCCTCTAAGCAACACTCGTGAAGCATCACGAATACCACACCGGCTGGTGATGGCACTGGCATTATGGAACACCGTTCGTTAAAGCTGAACTACTCTTATCATATAAGTTTGGGATACATGGATCCAATGAGCGGACTAGTTAATGTCCAGGTTAGTCAGACGTTCAGAAAGTGAAATGGTATTGATTATCCAGCCATTATTAGGAGTTCGATGGTGGGGTGTCAGTTGTTTACACACCTTACAGACAATCTACATGTTGATTAAAGCAAGCAAACAAGTAATTATCATTAGATCCAGACTACTCTAAAGCGCGCTTGTTATGTCAACTTAGTTTATTGTCATCGGGATACGCGACGGCAGGTCTGCTAACACTATGTGATATTCGACGGGAGTTGTCTATCATCTACGCACAAGTGGAGTGGCGTGCCAGAAACCCCCAACTGCTTGACTGGCTACTTATTTCATCTATCCAACAGACAACACACTCCCGCTTTTTCTGTTCACCTATGATCCTAAGAGTTGATGATGAAACCCGGTTTCTTCAAACGGAGGGAAATCGCAGGTCAGTTGGCGAAAGTAAAGTTAATACTTTTTTGCAGATAGTGTGAGCACATTTTACTCCTAACAACCACAAACGGTGAGCTCCAGTCTCGCAGGTCACCCAATGTTCTGAAACGCGGTGAGCAATTTGGCTTGGCAGGACTTGGAAGCAGAATCACTGGGTTGCGTACCTTTACAGCCCACCCTGCTCTGCTATATCATCCACATCATCATCCCTCAATGGGGCCGTGACAACTTTGCAAATATCCCGACAACGCTTACTTGGCTCTTCGTTGTTTACCCTAATCCGGAAGCCGAAGCTCGACGTCGCTAATGAACGTTGCAATTTGTCTACTTCGGCTTGCATTTCTAGCTGCCTGACAGTAGCTTCAAATGATGACTACCTAGACACCGGCACCGGTGATAAGAACTGCCATGGTAGATATATGTAGTGAACCGGAGACGTTTACACTTTCAGTGTTTTGCGACAATTGCTTCCATTGTTCTTTGTACCTATCGAACACCTATGTGTTTTACTGGTTGCACGTCTCGCTCACTTGCTCATCTCGGTGGGTCGGGTGGCTACTCTGCTATCTGCTCTTGTCTGCTCTTTATTCCTTGTAGCTCTTGTCAATTCACATTGGGTCCAACGGCTCTTACCGTTATGCGTATTCGCCTACTTGTTACGCCTCTTAGGGATCAGCACTTGCGATTAGTAGCCGGGTAACGCATTACACATATTCCACCAGAGGTGGTATAACCACATGATCCAAGTCGTATAAAATATCTTGGATGGTTAGTATCTTTAATTTCATGAACTCGTATTGCATGTGTTTTGATCTTTTATTCTGCTATCTTGAATTTATCGCAGACAGGTAGACAACATGTTGCATATTCAAATTTAGTGAAGAATTAAGTCGGTATATCCATATGCCTTATCCGAATTATTTTATTTGAGCTCGTCATTCCAAGTGATTGGCTGTTGCTTGACATCCCCGGTGTGGTTGCGCTTGATGTACATGTTGACAAGATGCCTACCTGTCTGGTACCCACCACCTCGTGTGTACCGGCTGCAGAAGACAGTTGATGGTTACTGGAGGGGATGGGGTGCATGGTGCTCGTGACCGTGTTAGATCCGAAGTGTGGTCTTATGCACATGGTTTGGGTGTGGAGCGGGCTACGGCCTAACCACCGTCTTGTATGCACTTGATTCCATACATATAGCGTGCTTGTGTTTGCCTGTGAAGGAGTGTGGGCCGGCTCCGTTGATGAAACGTGGTTCCCATCCACATGCCTCCCGATCCTATTACTTCGGATATGTGGTGTGTGGATGAAGCTATGCTTGGTGCAGCGCAAGCCACCCATAGTCCCTGCGTTGGCGTTTTTAACGCACCACTTGTGTTGTGGTGATTTATTATTTCTGGTACTTGTTGGTGAAACCCAGCAAGGTTCTATTACAGCAAATGTTTATACCATGTAATTCAAGCAATACACTCCCACCCTTCTTCCAAACGCTGCTTATTATCACCAGATTATCTACTGCCGCGCTAATTGCAGTTTGTTTTGCGGGATTTCTCTCTTTAACCACCTTAGTTGCCTAGAAGTCTATTAAGCATTCAACGTTTAATGAAAATAGAATCTGGCTTACTTACAACTAAGATAATATAGCAGTCGATCTTTCATAAATCAGTGGCTTAGCAAGTAAATATGCATCCGCAAAAGAGATTACTGCCGTACTCATCAAAACGTTGGACTTTCAATATTACGTTACATGTAAACAAATCGGCATCATTTTAGTAAACTAAAACAGACCCCCAACATCTTGGCAAATACTTGGAACCGATCAAGAGCTCGTGATTTCAGAAAGGTTTGGAAGCAAAAGGTCGGTACGGTTTGTGGGCAACGTTTCGCTTCTGACACAAAAGCTTCCTCAGGCCGAGTGAACCAGTCGAGGATTGGTATAGCACTTATAGCGAACTGGGATGATAATCGCGACGAATGGGATGTAGGCAATAGGTCAATCGCGTTACAGGTCAACGCATCACTCCAAATAGTGCATGGAACGGTTACAAGTGGTCTGCGTTACAAGGTCATTCACATAAGCTTTGTTAAGGATAGGTGCGGGGATGCTGTGATGTTAATTCTCTGCCCTGGATCCTTCCGCCGGTGCTCCTCAGACTTGTCGGGTTAACACAGCTCGCCACACGCTCAAAGCTGTGCCCCGTCCATTCTGTTCACCCAGCTGTTCCCTTTGCTAATCACAACTACCTCAGCAGTCAGCCTCTGGGGAATTGATTGCAACCCCTTTCTAACGATTTTAACGTTATCCAAGTCGATCTCATGCCCTGTATCTATCGCGAGCATCGCTACTGCCGAACTCCTTAGTAGACATGGTGTAGAGATGGTGTACCCTACTATAGTTCAGGTCACCCAAAGCATGTGTATGCTGGAATCGCCTCACGTCTGTTTCACAGAGCGCAGACCCGGTGCGCAGAGGAAGAAGATAGGAAGACCGCCCGGAAATAAGCAATGAACCATTTGCTTAGTAGTGGATACCCGAGGCGGTTAGTGAAACGCCAGTGGCAGCTGGTTTTAGATCCTCAACCACGGCGTAGTACCGAGTGGATGGGGACGGTAGGTATTCCTTATAAAGATGGAACTTCGGAGGCCATCCGGAGGGTCTTATATAAGGAAAACATAGGGGTAATTTTCCAGAAAGGCCAAACGCTCCGCTCTACACTAGTGCACTTGAAAGACCCACTTCCCGCAGACAGGACAACCAATTGCGTTTACAAAATTAGTTGCAAAGACTGCGCACACGTATACATCGGCCAAAGCGCGAGAGAGCTACGCACAAGGGTAGCAGAACACAAGAGACGCATAACACGGTCACCGAGAAACGCGCTTAAATATATGGCTCTACTAAGGAGTTCGGCAGTAGCGATGCTCGCGATAGATACAGGGCATGAGATCGACTTGGATAACGTTAAAATCGTTAGAAAGGGGTTGCAATCAACTCCCCAGAGGCTGACTGCTGAGGCGGTTGAGAGTAGCAAAGTGAACAGCCGCGTGAACAGAATGGACGGGGCAGAGCTTTCGAGCGTGTGGCGAGCTGTGTTAACCCGACCAGTCTGAGGAGCACCGGCGGACGGATCCAGGGCAGAGGATGAACAACACACCATCCTCCCACCCATTGTTAACAGGGCTTACGTGTATGACCTTGTAACGCAGACCACTTATGACCGTTCCATGCACTATTTGGAGTGATGCGTTGAGCTGTAACGCGATTGACCTATTGCCTACATCCCATTCGTCGCGATTATCATCCCAGTTCGCTATAAGTGCTATACCGATCCTCGACTGGTTCACTCGGCCTGAGGAAGCTTTTGTGTCAGAAGCGGAACGTTGCCAACAAACTATACCTTTCTAAAACAGACGACATTCTTAAATTTGTTGCGGTTTAATGAAAGCCAGAAATCCCATTACAACATACACAAATACTGCTGGCCAATAAGCGTATAACGGTAGAACGACGAAAATCCCTGGTGCATTTAGCAAATAGGCTTGTTCCATCAGTATCCCATTGGTCATCTGGCCAGTCAGTTAGACCCATTGCCTTCCTTCTGCTTGGTAACGCTATTCATACAGAACGAAATGGCCGTTTCAAGAGGAAATTTGGGTATACTTTTCAAAGCATAGGCAGGTTGATCAGAACATAACTACCCAAAAAATTGTATCGGAATACAATTAGGTGAATCCTATGGTGTCGAATGACGTGGCTCTTTACGATAATCCGAACGTTGAGCCCACGTCTGTGTGGCCCGGGACCAGAACAATGGCATCAGCAAGGCCGTCATCATTCACCGCCAAACTATAGATCAGATAACTTAGAGCATGGCAGACCTTCAGCTAAGTGTGAAATAACTCAACACCCATTTTTATCATATGCATCGAGCATTCTATAAAGGGACCTAGAGCTCCCTTCTCTGAGTCCCAATAGAAAATGCTGGCTACGTGTGGAACTTACAATTTGTCATTTGTTCGCAAAGGATTGTAGTCTAGATTAAAATTTGAAGCGTAATTATTCCCTTCCGCTGTTATGTTGACTGGCAATCATTGGCCTATGAAACACTGAGATAGGTGGGTAGAGTAAGTCACTGGACACTTTCAAAACCCCAGTTACGGTTCAAGAGCATTTGGAAATATTCGAACAGATAAGTTTAACAGGCGGAATTTGTCATCCGTCATGTACTCGGTGGAGTGGAGACTGTCGTGCTCATTTGATAAAAATACTTCGCGTACAATCTACCAACGAATTAAAATTAGGGCTATAGTCAACTTCACCAGACGTACCGAACTTCGCATCAGTCGAGTCGCCATAGCCTCCAGTTCAAGACGACCCCTGGGAGGTGAGAAAGGCAAAGAGTAGAACAGGCTTGGCCAGTCGGGTCCTATGTGTTTGGCCACGTACTGGATGACGGCGCGTCGTTTCTTGTCGCTCCACGTAACTTCCGTTTCTTTAGAGTTTAAGGTGAATGTGAGTTTAGTTGGGCATAGAAATATGGAACGAAATATTTAATAACGTATAAACATGTCATAATATTTTGCAATTTGGTCTACCACATTATAATAATCAGTGGGCTAAGACAAATAAAATACACTTACGCAGAATTAACAAAGGCAACAGTGTCCGAAACATAGGAGAGTTTTCGGATGTCCATAGCTTTCTTACATGTAGTTAATCGCGACCATGAGCCCAGTGGGTGCTTTGTGTACTATCATAGTGATTATAATTTCTGTTGGTTTATGTCACTTAAGCTTTGGTTGCAAAGAAGCTGCAACTGAATTTGAATGGTAAAAGTAGAATTTCCAGAAGAGTGGTAGGCCAAGTTGAGTTGTCTAAGCAGATATTCGTCACATATTGACTCAGTCAGACAGCCATCACATGCCCGGAAGAGCAGAGTACGGCACTTCATCCTTTCGAGATCAGCACCAGTGTGCGTTCCATCTACTCCCTGCGGTGCTTGAACCCGCAAACCGACTGTTGTCAGTCTGAGGTTGAGACCATTGTGCTACGGTGGATAGTGAACGGGGCAATATAACAGTTAGTAACTTATTCCAGTAAGTTGTTACCGTTGCCCGCTGGTCTCAACCACGGACTGCCAACAGTCTAGTTGTTGGTTCAACTCCCACGGATGTCGGAAGGAATCCTCTTTGTTGATGATCCTCGAAAGTATGATACGACAGTTCAGTGCTTTTCCTGGTTTGTGATGGCTATCTGAAGGAGCCTAGATGTGGTGAATATCTACTTATATCGTTCTGATCAAGTGAGTAATGGCCAATAAAATTCAATAACGGGTTAAGGAACGTCTGCTCAGTGTGTAAACTGGTGTACTCTGGCAATCTACCCGAACTGGTGCACGTAAAGCAATTACTCACGCAGACTCTTCGCTTGCATCAGTATTGAAGATATCCGCTCACGTGACCCCTCAGGACAATTAGCTAAGCTAATCTTGGCTTCTACCTTCTACAATATTACACCGCTCACAAAAACCAGCAACCTACAAGTTATCATCACCCCTTGAACATCGGAAGGACAGATACTTCGGTCCACTGGGAGGTGACGAGTGAGTGAGCCAATCTGCAACACCAGGAGATATTGTGTGAGCTTACTGGCAATATGTCGCGAACCAAGCAGAAGTCCTGTATTAAATTGAGCACCTGGTCGTCAGTCCTCGGTAGCTCAGGTGGTGGAGCAGCGGACCTGTAATCCGCGTGTCCGGGGTTCGGTTCCTCGTCGGGGCTGATTATTGTGCAAAGTTTTATCGTGGCTTCTACATTCTACAATACTTCCCCGCTCACAAAAACCACCACTCTACAAGTAAATAAGTGATGCGAAGATTTGGTGGATGAGTTGGGTAAAGTAACAAATTGCAAAAAGTGACGCCACTCAATTCGAGCTTAACGCACTCCAAACCCATGAGCATTCTGCCTTCGATAACAATAGCAAACGAGAAAATCGATAACCTACCTTTTGTTACAGCTTGCGTTTCTGCGGTTGATATCTCCGATCCTCCGGACATTGGGACAAGCTCAATGTCGTGAGCCAATTTCGTCACGGTGATTGAACTGGCTTTCAGCCTTCGAACGCGTCGGAGTATGCGGACAGCTTTGTCGATAGTCTCCAACATCGTTCTATGCACAAACAGGATCCGAATCACTAAAACAGTTTCTTAATAATACAAGCATGATAACTGAAGCTCAAGAACAGTTCAAATCGAACACGGTCTAACGAGTGAGGCAACCAGAATACCAACAAATGTCTTCCCAAAGAGTAGTGGTGAAATAAATTTTTGCTGAAATCCACCACAAATATCACATCAATCGCATCATTTGTAGGTTGTACTCCTGTGTTCTTCTGCGAGTGAAAAGCCGGATCCGCCAGTGTTTCTAAGGGCGAACTGCAGAAAGCATGTATCATTTTAAGGCGACTACCGGAACAAGCCTAAAGCAGCTTTGTTAGACAGATACTTTTGCTGGAAAGCAGATCTAAAAACCATTAGCGCCTAAACTGCCCTGTCCCAAGTTTGCTGTGCGGTGCGGGAAATGGACCCCAATCGTTTCGTTAAAAGCTTAATGTGGCATTTATTTGAATAAGGCCAGTTTGCTAAACAGTTCCGAAACGTTAGATTAACACCTGTTGTATGAATGTGTACTTAAACTTGACAGTATCTTACTACGACCGATATAGGCAAACGTACCGGGATCTAGAGCCAACAACTCGTGCGCGTGTTTTGTCATGTTTGTGTTTTACGCCTGGCGCATAGAACATTCATCAAACGTGAGCGCCAGTACCAGAAACATCGCTCGGATAGGCTTTGCTGCAAACGATAAGAGAGCGACTAGCATTCCCATAGCGCAACGTCGCCTATGTCCAGCGGAGAAGTGCAGGAAAGTAAATAAGATCGGAGTAACTTGTTCTAGCTGCATTAGATTGTATTGTCCGCAATGTGTAAGCAAATAGATATAAGCAGCGAGACAGACAAACAAAGTTGCTGACACATTTTGTTTTTGTCCAACATGTCAAGTGATTCCAGCTGTCAACTGTTTATCTTTGCTCATGAAAAAGTTCGATAGGATAACTGAGATAATCGCGCATTTTGTAAATACTAAGGTCGATCCCACGGAGATAAATATGACCACGCTAATACCTCAACCATCCAAAGTCAGCTCTGAATCTAAGCCGAAGAAGAGGGCTAGACGCTCCAAAAGCACTGCAGCGTCTGTATCACTAGTTCCTCTGGGTCACGTCGCTCCCATAAGCCTCAAACATACCTGCTTCCACTCCTCCAACCATAGACGTTTCACCCGGAGATTCAGCCATGACACCAACAGATCAGAGCCGAGGGCAATCCGGTGCAGATATCAAGCATTGATTGCCCCGATAAACACATCATAAGCGACACACGTTGGTTAATCTTCTGTACCGAGTACACGTGGAGCAACGCAGCTTTCACCGTCAACTCCAGTGGTGCCTTCTAAACAGCCCAAATTGCCAGCAACAAATTTAAAGGCGACACTGGCTAGAAAATACCAAGCTGCGTTAACGCTCGTGTGCACCAATGTTCCCGTGTCCCAATCTGACACAATAAAAGGCAAGTTGCTAGATGATCGCAACCAGTGGAATTCCGTCTATGATGCGATTGGTATTCGGGTTAAGCCTACAATGCCGCAACGCGTAGAGCGTCACCCGACCTCAACGCACTTTGGTGAATGTCGGATACTTCGAGTAACACTAAACTCAGCAGATGAGACAGGGGCAGTAATGCTCTCAGCAGTTTGTCTTCGCAACACCGAGCGGAGTGCGCATATTACCCGATCTCCCTTGGAACGATCCCCCAAAAGAAGCAGGTGACCAACGCGATATATTCAATAGTAATAGCAAGAAAACCATATTTGTTCATGGTGTTCCTGATCCTCTGCATTCTTCTGACCATGATACGCAAATACAGGACCGAGAGCAGTGGTGTTACATCGGAGAAGCACTCTCTCTGATACATGTTATTGTCAATTCCTTGACAAGAGTTCCGCCGTCACCTAACCACGAGAGCTGCGGTCAAAGACTAATGAAAGTAGTACTACAATCCGAGGAAATGATTCAGGTTTTATTGGATAAATGGTCAAAGATTCGAGCCAGGTTGCCAACAGAAGTACGGCTAAAGGCAGCAGGCGCACGGCCAAGAGTCGTAAGCAATTCAATGGGACTGTCAAACGACGTAAATTCTTTATCCGCACAGTCCTGTGGAAGGACCGACACAACAGCGCCCACGGCGCATAACAGGACAGAGCGCAGCACAAGTGAAATTTCCGCTCAGGAACGCTGTACGTTACCATGCAACTTGACTGGAATTCATAAACCAATAAACCATTAAAGGTAGGCAACCTAACGGTCGGCATAAAAACAAACATAAATTTGACATCTATCAAAGCCCACCTAAAAACAAAAACACTCGTTGGTGTGTACATAAACGCCAAAGGCCTTCTAAGTAAGTTGGCCGGACTTAGAGAAATCCACGACTCACAACCACGAGAATTCGCCATGATATAGAGACTTGGTTAAACGTTGAGGTAACTGATTCTGAGGTCAATTTATCTGGTATGTCTCTGCTTCGGAAAGGTAGAACTGGAAGAGGTGATGAAGTGATTCTTCCTTGTAATACAAACCTTCGATATGAAGCTATCGATCATCCGGGAATCCGCGCTTCTGATTCGCTTTGGTGTGGCCTATGGTTGAGGAACAAGGACCCATGTCTACTAGCAGTGATTTACCGCCCACCAAACTCAACTTCGGAAATGGACTCTAAACTGAAACAGGTCTTTCAGTGTGCTTTGAATAAGTCCTACGCGCACATTCTTATCACTGGAGACTTCAATGTGCGCGACATAGAAACGCCAGTAACCGATGGTGCACAGCTTAAAGCCTGCTTGCAAGAGCTAATTACTAGCCACCCTCTGTACAACCACGTAACCTCTCCCACCAGATTTCGGTCTGCTAACAAGCCGTCGATACTTGAGCTTGTGCCCACTAACGAAGAACTCATAGTCGACGGGATAGTTACAAGCACACCACTGGGTCACAGTGACCATGGTACTCTATTCTATGACTATATAGGCTATGCGGATTATCCTGAAAAGGAGGATGATAAAGTGCAGACTGGCACGTACTATAACGTGCTATCTACACTTTTTAAGGATATATCTTGGACGTCCTTAACCGGTTGCCCCCCAGATGCGCCTGGGAAACAAGGACGTTTAGCACACTGGCAGCGTACGCCTCACAACGTAAAAACAAACTTAAGTCATTTCTGAGGAGCAGAATACGTAAATGTATGTCCCTAAAGGATTTGGCATGTCGAGTTCATAAAACTACCCGAGTGCGGAAACCTGGACCCATACGTCGCGCATCATAAATTCAGTGTGAAACTGATCCGCGAAGACAAGGTCACGTATCATCAGGAGTTAGTGAAGCGATGCTGCACGAACCACCAACTTCCGTACGGGCACATTAACGGCCTTGGTAATGTGAAGCGCATAGTTCCAGCATTGATCACAGCTGATGGATGCACGTGGTCATCACTGGAAGCAGCCTATCTCCTACGGCAGCAGGTAACGAGCCCACATATTCTCCTCCTTTCTATTACTCCACAGTCGGGTTTATACAACATCCCTTTCACCACAGAAGCTGTATTAAATAAGTTGTTAACCTTGCGGATCCACAGTTCTCCTGGAGTCGACAACATTTGACTGAAGGCTCTGCAGTCACTAGCTAGTGATCTAGCAGAACCGATGTCAATCACCCACCTGCCGAATCCTGCCGGATTCGGCAGGCGCGCACTACTGACGAGCCCCAATAGGACGAAACGGCTATTTAGCGCTTTCCTGGATGTGTGGTGTCTGTTCGCCTGTGTCTAACTGCAACAAATCTACACTAAATCCTAAACCCCCTACTACTTACATGTAACCAGTAGTCGCCTTAGCAGCGTACACGCCATCTCGATTGGTGGCGGCTTGCAAAGGAAGTCGTTGCTTTGGGGGTCATTCCTGTCCTCTGCACATTCATAACCTGCAAGACAGTGGAGGATGAGCCGCGCTATATCACAGTTAGATATCAGTCATGGCGGTTCACTGCCGTCGTTGACTCGAAAGAGTAAGATCGTGGGTTCAAATCCGACAGGATTCGGCAGGTACACTCTACTGACGAACCTTAACAGGACGAAAGGGCTGTCTAGCGCTTTCCTGGATGTGTGGTGTCTTTCTGCCTGTGTCTACCTGTGATGAAGATACACAAAAACCTAATAAATCTCGTTACCACTTCCAAAAGATTAGATGTTGCTCTTAGCTCCCAGAACTTTGTTACCTAAACTACGCTATTGTGGAACATGCCAATCATGCGTCTCTATAGGATCTATGTATCAAACGGACCCAAGTTGACCACCATAGTTCACGTTTCTCACGCATTGCATCAAAGCTCCCTACACGCTGTGTATTTCTATACGCTTACACTCGATTTTTTATTATTTTACACTGACGTTATTTATCAAAGCGTTCACCTCGGTAGACAGTCGGTAGAGGACTCACATATGTTTTATTTTCATCGTATTCAGCCCAACCATCCTATGGGATGTTTCAAGCACTTACTTTTAGCCCGTGATAAATCATTGTTCATTATTTCTTGTTCAAATTGCAAAGTGAAAATCGATGGTTCAACGAGATATTCCGGCAGCAATTGACTGCGCACCAGACAGTTACACAGCGATGAACGATGAACAATGATTTATAACGGATAAAAAAGCAGGTGCTTGACAAGTCCCGTAGGGTGTTTAGCGTGACAAAAAAAGAGCGAAAAGATAATGGAGTCGTCAGTTCGGGTGCTTACAGATGTAACTGCACTGTCGTATAAAGGGAGTTTGAAATGAGAACGTACGCACACAAAGCTACAGGGGAGTGGCTATTGTTCATATCATAGGCCAGAAAAATAAAAAGGATAGCAAGGACAACGCTTACTCGTGTGCAACTATCTTGGGTCGACAGGATACAGAAATCCAGTTTCTATAACAGTAGCGTTTATCAAATTTCGTGCAAGGCGTTTAGAGTGTCTCATTATCGAGTAGGGTGATGGTACTGTCCACTGTCTGT